GTGTCCCCAGCGACACTCCTCCACCACCCTGTCGCTCAAAAACTAGCGACAGCAAAATGACCAGTTGTTTCTGGGATTCCTATTGGTTACCAAGATGTCGCTGGCGACACTGCAATCTGCATAGTTCTGAGAATGAGGCTAGCGATTGGAAACCAAGCTGATCGCTAGAATGATGTTATTTTAATTTAATTGGTTTCGTGCACGTGACGTCACAAATTGACACTGGAGGTAAAAACAACCTAACTTCATCTTCCGTTTTTTCATATATTTATCGGCGTTTAAGTTATATTTTTGTTTGATTTCTTATTTAAATACCTTAGTTTATACAGACATTTACTAACGTTCATATTGTATATTTTGGATTAGTTCCCAAAGAGAGAAGTTTTATAACCAAAATTTGTTGACGTACAGTGAGAATTTTGCCAATGACACAAGGGAATCTAAAAAACACACAGGTTCGAGGTGGGTTTTATGAGTAACAGTTATCTAATACAACCGTCAACCGTTTTTTATTAATAATCAGAAGATTCGTCTCTCTTCTATATCGAAGGAAACAACCTGATTAAATATGAATCCTATATTTTAATTGATAGAAACAATTGAAAAATTACCTGAAAATTTAAAAAAATATAACATTTTCTTTTTTAGCGGCATTGTTTTTACACCCTACAACGGCACAATACGCGGGCATTTTAACCCTGGTCTACACTATGCTATTCTATGAATTATATTTCAATTAGAAACGCTTTTTCAAAGGATTAGGAGGGCTAGGCAGCTAAATTTCGAAGTTTTGTGGAGTACAACACGAAATTGCCATAAAAACATACACACATTTTCGGGTTCTTTTACCTCCAGTGTCAAAAAGTTGTCACGTGCCGCACGAAACCAACTGGGCCAAAATGCCCCTGATGACATCATTCCGGTACCGTTAATGGCTCTGTGTCATTTGCGCGAGGAAGAAAAGCGCGATACTAAAAGCGCGAGGGACAAAAGCGCAACGGAACATAAACGCGACAGGACAAAAGCGCGATGGAGAAAAGCGCGACTGGATGAAAGCGCAAGGAACAAAAGCGCGAGGGACAAAAGCGCGACGAAACATAAACGCGACAGGACAAAAGCACGATGGAGAAAAACGCGACTGGATGAAAGCGCAAGGAACAAAATCGCGAGGGACAAAAGCGCAACGGAACAAAAACGCGACGGACAAATGCACGACGGAACAAAAACGCGAGGGACAAAAGCACGACGGAACAAAGACGCGACTGGAATAAAGCACGATAGACAAAAACGCGACTGGATAAAAGAACGAGAAACAAAAGCGCGACGGAACAAAAACGCGAGAGAGAACAAGGCGACAGAAAAAAATGCAAATGGACATAAGCGCGAGGGACAAAAGCGCGAGGGACAAAACCGCGACGGAATAAAAACGCGAGGGACAAAAGCGCGACGTAACAAAAACGCGACTGGAATAAAGCGCGATGGACAAAAACGCGACTGGAGAAAATGCAGACTCACTCAAACTTACCCAAACTAACCCGTCCGCCTAGTGCGATCTAGTTCTCGCAAGTTAGCATTTGATTTCAAAAAACAGTCAATTTATTTATAGCGTAGCGTCCCTTGACCGCGTGTGTTTCAAATAAAATGGCTAACTTAGGAGGACTAGATCGCACTAGTCGAACAGGTTAGTTTGGGTTAGTTTGAGTAAGTCTGCATCTTTTTGATTATAATTATTATTGATACAATTTGATGTGTCCCTCTTCTGCTTAGAGGTCGCCGACGTCGCCGTTGTAAATGTCGCTTTTTTAATATGTCGCCTTTTTGATGTCGCTATTTCAAATATCGCTCTTTTGAACCGGAGCCACCTAAAATATCTTGTATTTTGGAAAGCGTTCTATAAACCTCGTAGATAGTTAGGCACCTGGCGTTCTTGTCCGATCGCGCTTTTATCCAGTCGCGTTTTCGTTCCTCGCGCTTTTGTTTCTCGGGATTTTATCCAGTCTCGTTTTCGTTCATCGCGCTTTATTCCAGTCGCATTTTTGTTTCGTCGCGCTTTTGTCCCTCGTGTTTTTGTTCCGTCGCGCTTTTGTCCCTCGAGTTTTTGTCCCTCGCGCTTTTTGATCAGTCGCGTTTTTGTCCCTCGCGCTTTTGATCAGTCGTGTTTTTATCCCTCGCGCTTTTGTTCAGTCGCGTTTTTGTTCTGTCGCGCTTTTGTCCCTCGCGTTTTCGTCACTCGCGCTTTTATCCAGTCGCGTTTTTCTTCCGTCGCGCTTTTGTCCGTCGCGCTTTTTCTCTCGCGCTTTTCTCCCTCGCGCAAACGGTTGTCGCGCAAATGACACAGAGCCATCGTTACTACTTATTTTAACGTTTAGGCGTTTTCTTTTCAGATTTTTCAACCCAAGGTTATAATATTTCCTCACTTATTTCCTTCACTCTTGGTGATTTCGATTGGTAGATTAACGCGCTCTGAGAGTTTTTGCATAGAAATACCCTTTGTTTTGCACCAACCGGAAATGACATCAGATCCTGCACTGTACCAACTTATTTCAATAGACCTATTCATTCACACCTGACTGTAGGAGTTGCGTGCACATATGGAGGAAATTTTTTATTGGTTGAAGCAGGCAAGTGAGAATTTGAAGGATGAAATGACAGTACGGCAGTTTCTAACACAAACAGATGTTGTTTTGGTTTTGTGTGGTGTTTTGTTCCGTTGTTTTTGTTTGTTGCTATTTCAGTTTTTTGCTTTTATTATTATTTAATAAACGTACAAATCTAGTTGCAATAATGCCGCAGTTGTATCCGGTACGGGGGTGTAATGTTTTTTTGACAATAATAGTATAATATATACCTACGTAGAGAAGTTGGTCATTATAAACCGAGCGTTTTTATAAACCGAGGTGCGAAGCGCCAAAGCTTATAATGCGCAGGGTTTTGTTATTTTGTTATATGGTCGAAACATCACTGAATAAAAAATAACGTTTTTTTTTTGCTGTCCTATTCCCGCTACTCCTTTCCTTCCTATTCACATAATGGAAATTATTTATTAGCATTGTTGTTTTTCAATTTTTGTAATAACTTGTAGTTCTTTTACGTACAGTTTCAGCTGTGTTTCCATTATTCCAAACCTAACAAAAAAAAAGAAACCAACAAGAATCATGTGAAGCGCCGTACACGTGGTAGAAGTGAAACTTCTTAAAAACTATCCCCCCTTCTTACAACTTTTAGACCTAGCGCAAAGACGAATGGGAACGCGCATATGTATTGCCGTCACAAGGGTATTGGCGCTAGACAACAATAGTTTATAATCCTTGGTCTGTGCTAATCGTTCGTCGGCTGTCATTGTCATTGGCTGTCTTTCTTCGTCCCTCAACGTTATATTTTTCTTCTCCCTCGTGTAACGAAATTTGTCAAAACGTGACGCGTCTTTCAAATCACTCTCCATTCTCGTCCAAATATCAGATTGCCGCCTAAGAAATTTTACTTCAAAAAGCACAGAACACAAATGTATAAATAACGAGAGAAATTACACAACACAATGATAATAGTATAACAAAAGAGAAGCGCGCATCTGTAGTGACGTCACAAGGGTATCGGCGCGTGACAATCATAGGCAATACTCTTTGCACTTATAATTCTTGATTTGTGATCAATTGCTGTATTTTACGGGACTTAGCGGGTGTTAGCGCTTGCAAGCGCTTTCGGCTAATTGACCGATAAACGACTAGTTAGCGTAGAGGCGCCTGTCAGCTTACTTAGCTCATTTGAAAAGTGCTATTTCTAGTTAGCTATTGTTAGCGCTAATATGAAATGTCATAAATGTCTAATCTACCCTAACCCCTAACCTAACATTACATATTTTTTCTTTTGGTTTTTGGTTGATGTTGGTGGGAGCTGCTTTATTTTCGTATTTTCAACATGGATATTCAAAATTATGGAAATGCCGATGTCATTAAATACAAAATTCTTGATTAGGGTTTTGTTAGGTTATGTTTAGAGTTTAGAAAAAATCTTGAAACATAAATACGTCGTTCAACGGTTACGATTAGCGCCTCCTGGCGCTTTCAGCGTTAACGGGTTTATGCTAAGTCCCGTTAAACACAGCCATTGGTTGTTTTTCTCCGTCTCCAATATCATTTTTGAAAATATTTTAATATAATTAAAAAAAATGGCAGCACGCGAATGTATAAATAACGAAAATAATCACAAAGCACAATGATAATATTATACCAAAGAGGAGACGCGCATCTGTAGTGACGTCACAAGGGTAACGGCGCTTCTTGTCACTAATAGGCAATCCTCTTTGCGCTTATAGTCCTTGGTTTGTGTCAATCAATAGCTGTCTTTCTCCGTCTCTTTTCGTTATATCTTTCTTCTCTCTCGAGTAACGAAATTTGCCCGTGACGCTTTTTTCAAGTCACTCTCCATTGTCGTTTAAAAATCAACAAACGCGTTTGGTCTTGTTTGTCGTGACGTCCACATTAATCAAAAAAATTTGTTCGACCGATTTCATTCGCGTTCGTTCGCTGTATAGTGGCTAAATAAACCTTAACATACAGTGGCGAAAATAGAGGTCCCGCTGCCATTTTGTGCCCAACCTCTTGCTACTTTTGAGTATGAATATATAGGATTTAAATGGACATCCATCATAAAAAATTGAAAACAACGTATTTGATGTGCCTAATTATAGTCATCGGATACGTTGTTTTCAATTTTTTATCATGGATGTCCATTTAAATCCTATATATTCATACTCAAAAGTAGCAAGAGGTTGGGCACAAAATGGCGGCGTTGTCCATATGAATATATAGGATTTTAAAGAGCCAATCAGAAAGAAGACAGCAGTTGTCGCCTTAAGAAGTTTCACTTCAACAAAAAAATAAACCTAGTGCCATCTATTTTTACAAACGAAAACGAAACCCAAAATGTCCTTATTTCACGTAAATACATTGATAGAGCTAATAAATGATTTTTTCAATAATTTTCTTAATTAATTTAACTAGCTGCTCTTCAAAACGATTCAGCAACAAAATTATTTGTAAAAACCAAAGTATAGGCGGTACGCGTCACTTGTCACTTGTCACTTGTTCATTGTTTCTAGCACTAAGCAACCAACTCAACAAACTTCCATTTTGAAAACTTGAAGAAAAATGGTAGATGAAAAATAAAAATTCTCAGTCTCATTTTGGCAATAGGTGAATAGGTGATTGATCTCTCCAGTTTCACAAAATGGATCAGCACAATCGTCCCGCAGGTAATCCGAATCGACAAAATGTCCAATGGCACATGCACCACGCATACTGTAACTATCCTGGGGCCCTTTATCCAACTTATCACATGGCCGCGACTGTGAATTGCAGAGCCCCGTTGCCCCGTTTGCCTTTGGTGCCCTACTACGCCCCACCGTTTGTTGGAAGGCCTGTTACGCAGCATTACTCAGGCCCTCGGTTCAACATGAGCCCATACAATTTCACATTTGGCAGTATGACAGGTTCAAGCGCTTGCGTGCAATACAAGCCCGCCACCTCCAGCCCCACCAATTTGGTTTCCGGAATTCCTGTCACCGCCGACCCGGCCCCACCAGAAAGATACAACGGTGGCCAAGTCACACAGTTCAGCAAGGAGCAGTTGGTCGGGGAACTCAACTCTGAGGATTTTGTCAAGTTTTTGGAGCGCTGCTGCATCACCGCCGAGCAAATCGCTTACAAGAATCGCTGCAGACCGTATTTTCGCAACATCCAGAGCTTGTGCAACCGAACCAGATTGGAAATCCTCACACCGGGCACCACCATCGCCAGCATCCACTCGCAGGGCCCATCGTATGCCACCAAGGACTTTATCTACGCCTTTTTGCGTTTGATCAACTGCTGGCACGTAATGCAAGGCTACTGGGACATTATAGATGGTAAGCTTACTGATAATAATGATTTCAAATACTGATTTTGTTCTTATTTTCAAGTTTTCTCAGGTAGCGGCATGGAAAATATCAAAAACGAACTATCTCCGGAGTTCAGATCTTGCTATCTCACCTGGGAGAAGCAGACCAAGGAAATGGCCGCTCACTTGTCCAACATCTTTAACAATTTGGACAAAATAAATTTAAACGCTCATAGCTCAGGGGCTACCCTTGATAATAGTATGCCGTCTCAGGTGAGAATTACGATTTAATTATTATTTGTTCATTTTATCCAACCATTTAATTTTCTGGAATAAGTTTCTTCTAGAAAATAGAAACTAAAATAACTAAACTAGTTGTAATTGTATTGTTTTGTCCGGGTTGAAAAGGGATACTTTATAAAGGACAAGTTACAAGTTTGTTGGTCCAGCATAGTTCAATTCTTGCAAAAATAATTAAATACATATATTTGTTTACTCCTTTTTCTTGGGTCCTGAGGTTTTTTGATAAAAACAAGGGAGTGACTACTGCACTGTCCAGACAGTGTCGACTGAAAACTATCTGCACTGACCAGACAGTGGCGAGTGGCGACTAAAAATAGTGCCGACTAAAAACCATCTGCACTGTCCAGATAATTTCATTATCATATCATACATATAAAGTTATAGTTACATTCAAAATAGCTTGCATTCCTTGCTGGGATTCTGTATTAGTAGATATTTTTGTATCAAGTGCGCAAAATGCTCAGCAAAATGAGCAGTCACTTCCTAAAAACAATCATAGATTTCCTGACGTTTCACTCATTATAGTGGGCTTTCTCAGAGGACTTATTTCTGGATTTTTTTTTTCAATTATAATGATTATACATAATATTTTTGAAAAATCGATTTCACACAACAATTATTAAAAATTAAATATTATTTATTTGTATCGTGAACTCGTTATATACAGGGTGACAATTTGAAAAGTAGCAATCGGCAATACCTCTTATACAAAAAATACTATCAGCAAGATCTCAAATACTTATCGGGTTATTGGAGAGGGAACCAATAATCATAATTTTATTTCTGCGGCTGTACTGGTGTACAGGGTGTCCACATTTATAGGCTTAAAGTTCAATAAATACTATCGGGGATTTTTTTTGAAAAAAATCTGATAGCAAATTCTTGTTTAGAATGGTCTAAAACCCAATGGTACTAATGTTTGATACAATACAGGGTGATCAATCACAACAAAATTCAATGGGCCTTGAGAACAACAAAACTTGATACAACATAGTTTTAGAACATCCTTAATCGAAACATGTAGTAAGCTTGTCTCAAAATATGATATTTTTGCGGTTTGATTAATTGAATTTTGAAAATTTGTTGTGATCACCCTGTTTCGTATTGAAAAAATAAAATAAAATTAGTACATTTGGGTTTCAAACCATTCTAAACAAGAATTTGCTATGAGATTTTTTCTAAAAAAATCCCTAATAAGTATTATTGAAATTTGAGCCTATAAATGCTGTACACCAGTACAGCCGCAGAAATAAAATTATGAGCCCAATGGCAATAAGTGCCAAATTCGAGTAGATATGAGACAAAAAAAAATTTAATCGGTTAAAAAATTAAAATTTTAGTAGGGTGATCAGTCCTTAGGCGGGACACACTGTAGAAAGCAAAATAGTGAAAATTTTCTTTATTGAAAATCTTCCTCGTGGGGTTGCAGTCAAATTTTTATGGACCAGCTTTTTCAAGCTTTCCGGCAACTGTTTATTGCCTTCTTCAGGACAGGACAGCCTAAAAGTTGTACAATATTTTAATTAACAATGTGATTAAAGTGATAAATTACAAGACTTACGACTTATTTTAATTAAAAAAACGAAAAAAAAGCATTCCGCAGATACATTTGGCCGTAGTATGCGCACTAATTATAACAACTAACTAGGTACATTATCTTAAATACAGTGTGTATCAGACAAATGGAGTAAATTCGATAATAAACAAATGAGGGTCTTCTCGAAAAAATGCTGGGACACTTCGATTTTGCTTTTTTGCTTATGATTTTTTCACACCCATTTTTTTTTATACAGGACGTTCCAAGCACAGTTGTACCGTTATAAACTTTATTTTTTCAAATGGTACCTACCTCCTGTATGTTATGACATTTATAGATTTTGCAGAAAATTCTAGACATTCATTAATTTTAAAAGTTACCACCCGTATTATCTAAATCCCTGAAACACGTCAACTATTATTTGAAGGGGGATGAGTTTTTATGCAAAATTCACCTCTCCTCTTTCAACTCCTCAGCCCCCAGAGCCACCCCCTAGAAAATCTTAAACGGGAAGGGGGGTCAAGTTTTCAGTTCCACATTTTGGTACTAAATTTTAATCCCTAAGTACAACTGTTTTGGAAATATTGACAGTTGAAAATTAACTTTTTTGCAACTTTTACAGGCTGTAAAACCTGAACGATTGATTTTAGAGGAAAATCGATCTCACATTCTTATCTTAGATTCTCATGAACTATTATTTGACAGCAACTTTGAATTTAATCCGTGATCAAAAATTTAATCTCCGGTTAAATTCAAAGCTGGTGTCAAATGATAGTTTATAAAAATCTAAGATCCTTCGTGTGATATCGGTTTTCCTCGAAAATTAACCGTTTAGGTTTTACAGCCTGTCAAAGTAGCAAAAAAGTCAATTTTCAACTGTCAGTATTTCCAAAACAGTTGAACTTAGGGATTAAAATTTAGTACCAGAATGTATGGAATTAAAAACCCTCCAAATTGATGTATCACTTGACCCTTCTTCCCATTCAAGATTTTCTAGGGGGTGGCTCTGGGGGCAGGGTGGCTGAAAGAGGGGAGGTGAATTTTGCATAAAAACTCATCCCCCCTAAAATTATAGTTGACGTGTTTCAGGAATTTTTTCGAAAATTTTTAACTCCGAGATAATAGGGGTGTGTATCGTGTACAATGTCGTATACTTATCTTCAACTGCTTCGGAAATATTGACAGTTGAAAATTGACTTTTTTGCATTTTTGCCAGACTGTAAAACCTAAACGGTTGATTTTACAGCAAAACCGATCATACATTCTTGTCTTAAGCTTTTCATAAACTATCATTAGACACAAACTTTGTATTTAATCCATGATTAAAAATTTAGATTAAATTTAATCTCCGGTTAAATTCAAAGTTGGTGCTTATGAGAAGCAACAGTCGAGAATGTAAAATCGGTTTTGCTGTAATATTAACCGCTGAGGCTTTAAAGCCTGTCAAAGTTGCGAAAAAGTGAATTTTCAGCTGTCAATATTTCCGAAAGGAATCACCAACACCAGGGGGTACCATTTGAATATGAAAAGTTGATAACCGTACAGCTGTATAGAAAAATTGGCGTGAAAAACTCTTGAGCAAAAAAAACTAAAAAGACGTGTTCGAGGTTTTTGCGAAAAGTTCCTTATTTATTTATTATCGAATTTAGTCCATTTGGCCGATACACACTGTATACAGTGTGATTTTTTAAGTGTGCAACATATAGGATTTTTTTTTTGGAATAGCACAACCCAAATACAAACAAGGCCAAAAGTTGGTGCATGTCTGATAATCATATTAGGTGCACTTAGAATGGTTGCAAGTCAAAGAGCATACAGGGTAGCTCAAACAATATCAAAATTGTACTGTAAAGTACCCTTATATTAGAAAATTCAGCAAAATGTTATAGAGAAAAGTTGTTTGGAATTAAAAGTGCCTAAAGACCAAAACATAGCCTCCTAAAAAAAAATTTTTTTTTCGAAAAAAATCTATAATTTCTATATTTTTTTTATTTTTTATTTGCGCCCTTAATACTTTCAAAAATTAATTAAAATCAAATCAATTTTACATAACTTTGTTCAAATTCAAGTGTGTTTGTTAAGTTAACTTAGAGTTTTAATTTTTTATGAAATCACAAAGTTCATGTTTGTTGCAATGATATTCAACACAACTTTAAAGTGTCGCAATTTGTTTTTTAAGAAGTTTAAACCTTACTGATGATAATATGCATACCAAAAAAATTCTCCTCAAAGTGCAAAAGTTTTATTTTATCTAAGTAAATATTACTACAATTTTGATATTTTTTGTGCTACCCTGTATGCTGCTTGACTTGCAACCATTCTAAGTGCACCTAATATGATTATCAGACATGCACCAACTTTTGGCCTTGTTTGTATTTGGGTTGTGCTATTACTAAAAAAAATTCCCATATGTTGCACACTTAAAAAATCACACTGTATATACTTATACAGTGTGTCTAAAATAAGGATGGGATAGCATTAGGATCTGGGCGTTCGAGTTAAAATGTGCAAGCTGTGCTGGCAAATTACGCTTGCCCAACTCGGCTTGGTTGAGCAGCGGGACGATTGTATCGGTTTCTATCAAAGAGCAGCCTCACTCTCTGCGATCGCCAAGAAGGCTTGGGCACAAAAAACGATTTGAGTAAAACACCTTTTGAAGCTAGATGAATACTGATTTATTTCGAATCTTACATCCCTTTTTATATTGAATTTTGGTAAACTAATCGTGACAAAAACTGCAAAAATATAAAACACTGTGACCGTTATTCCTTAAATGCATGCTGGAATGCAACTTACGATGTTTGGATATTCTTATATTACCCAAACATTGTGACTAACTAAAATCTTATATAGCAAGCTGACCATGATATTGAATAAAATATAAATATACGAAGTCGGTCAAATTACGCCGGCAAAGGTTAATCACTGTTTAATTCGAGGTTTAATTGTTCTAATTAAACATTCTGCCACCTCTCGAGAATGGAAGAATGCTGTATGTCTTCTTTTTGGACTTGGTGTTGGTCTCTTGTCTGCTTTTGACGTCTTCTGTTGATAAGTTTTGTTGTTTGCTTTCCTGCAATCACTAGTATAATGATGACTATGGTGGTGATGCTGCTAGTGGCTGCGGAGTGGTGATGAATACTGCGCCATACTTTGTTATGAAGTCGATCACCGAGGTCCTCTTCTTCTCTTACTAGGTCTCCAAAACTATCGGATTCTCTAAACACGGGCTCGGTGGCTATATCTGACGGTGGATGTTTGTGGAGAGTACCATTGAAGATTATGGGTACAGCTTTTACATAGCTGCCTACCACTGGAACGATTGCGCTTCTCATGGGAGTTGGAATGTTCTGTTTTATCTGGATGGTGCAGTCTTGAGAAATTTGAATTATTACCGTTCTATTTATTCCTACATCTTCCTGCTCGCCGTTGC